GCGGGCAGGGGCGGGGCGGCGGCCTGGCTGGCGCGCAGCGCGGCGCTCACGTGGCCGCCCCCCCACCCGCGGTGGCCGTCGCCGCTTCTTCTGCTGCCGCGGTAGGGTGCCGGCTTGTCGCTGGCTCCGAGCCTCAGGCTCAGTGACTGGCTGTGTTGTGAGTGGCTGCTCCTCTGCCCCCTGAATGCACAGTGTCGGGATATAAAGCTAGAGCGGGCCCAGCACTCGGCGGGGTGGCCGACCCTCCCTTCCCGTGGCCCCTCCTCATGCTTGTCTGCCTCTAGCCTAGTTCCTATATTCTAGTCCTTTCCAAAATCACAAGTGATCCCAGCCCATTGCTTGTCTGTGTGAACATCTGTACATAACCTTAAAATATTTATCAGAAATGCTTCCTTATTTCTGATTTCTACTTTGTAAAAACTTAGGTAATTATGACATTTGCAACTATGTGTATAATTATTTGATTAATATCATCTCTAGGCACTCCTTACCTGTTTTGTATGTTTCTGTATTCCTAGCTCTTAACCCAGGCTTGGCGCAGAGTAGGTGCTTAATAAATACCTTGGGATGAATGGATGAGTGGATAAATATAGAAAGGTATAAAGAAGAAAAGAAAACTAACGATAATTACTGTGGACATTTTGATATTATATCCTTCCAGATACTTTTCTAGTGAAATCTTAGAAATTTCACAAATTTTATTTTAGAAATGAAAATAATAAGTTGAGTTTATTGAGCAATTTATCTCCATGTTCACACTAAGTCTGTGAGTAGGTAGGTATCGTTAGCCTTATTTAACAGACTTATAGAGGTAATAACCTGCCCAAGGTGAGACAGCTAGGAAAGGACAGAGCTAGAACTAAATCCAGTTGATCTGATTTCTAAGTTCAGGCTCTCTAAGAAACATGCATATATTTTTCTTATTTATAACCCCCAAGAGACTCCTAGAGTGGCTCCTTTTGGCAAAGGGCCTCTCTATTGCAGGGCTCCTGGGGATTTGGGGTCTGCTGAGTTACTCTGTGTAGTGAAAGAGGAGAGGAATTTGAACGACCCCCCAAATGAGGGATGGCAGAGGTAGGCAAGAACTTTCAGGCACTGTGGGAGGGAGGGGAGAAAAAGAGGATTCCATTAGGGGGACTGTCAGGTGGGGTCACTTAAATAGTTTTCTGTGGGATATGCAACATAAATCTGTTCCCTCTGCCCCAGAGAGTTCTTCAGTAGAAGCTGCTATGCACTGGAATGATGTGAGTGAACGAATTCTCCCATGGGACTGGAAGGAGTGCTGAGTTCTTTGTCCAGGTGAGTCCTAGGCAAACACAGAAAGCACAGGTGCAGGCATGACTTCTGTCTCAGAGTGACAGCCGACATCTGGGTATGCATGTGGTTATATTTACACTTTTCCTAACAAAAGTGAACTCTTATCTGTGTGCTGTACTACACATTGCTCTCTGTGTCTCCTCTCATCACTAGAGAGGTGAGAGGCCAAATGGCCAATAAGGATGTGAAAATGTTCCAAACATCATCAGCTGTTATGAAAATGCAGATCAAAGCCACGCCCACTAGGATGCCTATTATCAAAAAGTCAGATGATAACAAATGTTGGCAAGGATGTAGAGAAATTGGGACCTGCATACACTGTTGGTAGGAATGAAACACAGAAAACAGTTTGGCAGTTCCTCAAAAAAGTAAACATGGAATTACCATATAACCCAACAATTCTACTTCTAGGTGAATACCCAAGAGAAAGGAAAACAAATGCCTACACAAAAACTTATACACAAATGTTCATAGCACCATTATTCATAATAGCCAACAGGTGAAAACAACACAACTGGAGTCAACTAATGAATGGATAATGAAAATGTGGTATATCCATGCAATGGAATATTATTTGGCAATGAAAAGGAATGATGTACTGACACATGCCCCAAGGTGGATAAGACTTGACAACATTATGCTAAGTGAAAGAAGCCAGGCACAACAGACAACGTATTATATGATTTCATTTATATGAAATGCCCAGAATAGGAAAATCCATAAAGACGGAAGTAGATTAGTGGTTGCCAGGGGCTGGGAAGGAAATCTGAGGGAACGGGGAGTGATTTATAACAGGTACAAGGTTTCCTTTTGAGTTGATGAAAATGTTCTAAAATTGATTGTTGTGATGGTTGCACAACTCTGTGAAGATACTAAAAAATACTGGATTATTCACTTTAAATGGGTGAATTGTATGACATGTGAATTATATCACAATAAAGCTGTTAACAACAACAAAAATTACTCACAGTGTCTCCACCTCACTGTGGTGCTTCAGGGTGCAGCAGCAGAAGAGAGATAACAGGGATTAGTGCTCCAGTGCTTACATGGTCACAGTCACATGGCTGCTCCCACCTGCCAGGAGGCAGGTGTAATCCTCCTTTAGGCTCAGGGAGAGTTGGAGAGCCACACAAGCCACATGTGCCACAGGAGGTATATGGTTCCTGATATACTTTGGATATGTTTGTACTCCCAAAGCTCATGTTGAAGCTTAATCCCCACTGACAGTGTTAAGAGGGTGGGAAATCCTGTTATGGTAATTGAAAGGTGGGCCTTGAAGAGGTGATTAGATTGTGAGGACCATGCCTCGGTAAATGGATTAATCCATTAATGGTTTAATGGTGGTCATGAGTGTAGCTCTGATGGCGAGAGATTCGTTCTCTCTTGCTTTTGCCATTCTCGCCATGTGACACCCTGCTTTGCTGTGGAGTCACCACCAAGAACAAGGCACTAATGGATGTGTTCCCTGGACTTTGGACTTCCCAGCCTCCAAAACTGTAAGCACTAAATGTTATTTGTTCATAAATTATTCAGTTTCAGGTATTTCTGTTATAAGCAACAGAAACGGACTAATACAGTTCCTAAAGTGTTAATGCTCAGAGTCCCTGTCCCCAGTAGACTTGGGTTGTATGTTTTTAAGTGGCAGCACGACAGTCCTCCTTGGCTCAGGAGATTTTGAGCCTACTGAGCATGAGAAGTGCTCATCACAGAGCCATCCAGATGGCCCACCTGTAGATACAGAAAGACTTGCGGTTGCTATAAAATGACCACTCTCTGTCTTTTAGAAAGAGCATTCCTTTCCTACCCTGTCATGGCAAACCCCAGGATGAGGATGGGACATGTTAGGGCCCCTAGTTCCATTTGACTACATATTTGCATAGAAAAAGTCCAGCAGGACGGACACCGAACTGTTTTACAGTGGTGTGGGATTCAGTCATGAAGGGGGCAACGGTGAGGGAGCAAATTTCCCTTTTAATGTTAAACCTACAGTTTGACATTTTAGAACATTTGCAATGTGCACTCATTACAGTACATTTCAAATTTAAAAAGACAAAAAAACCAGCTTCCTTTACCAGACCATGGACAGAGTTTAACTGGGTGGAGAAAAGAAAGTTGATTTTATCTTCTTATTTGTGCTTTTCTTTCTGTCTTTCTTTGCTCAAGTTTCAACAAGGAACATGTATTACTTTTGCAAAAATTATTTTTAAATGTCACTTGAAAAAAAAAAAAAAAAACAACCTAAAAAGCTAGACAGAGCCCAGTTGCTCTGGTTTCTGGGGCCTCCCCACCCTGGCCTGGCTGTGGCTGGGCTCTGCGCATGAGCTGCTCCTGCAGCCTCACCCTGGAAGGCATAAATCACCAAAGAAGCCCAGTCAGCAGGACTGGGGAGCCAGCAGGAAGGCTGGGCCAGTTGAGAAATGCTGGGTGGAGCAGACAACCCACGGCCTTGTCTCCACTGGATTTTCGTTCTGTTGGAGAAGTGCCTCTGGCTCAAGGGTTCTGAGCAGCTCCAGAAACAGATTTTCTTCCTCCCCCAGGTCTGTTTTTTGCCTGATCAAGCCTACTAGGTGCAGGATAAAGGCTGACTTGAATTAAATTATCAGAGAGAGTGTTGGGGAGCAGGGTGTTGCTAGCAAGTGGTCCAACTACTGGAGAATGCTTTGAGTAATTGTGGGGAGATTAACTAAAGAGAACTCTGCTTCCTTCCTTTGTCCACACAGGAGGAGGGTGATCTTCCAGAAGAGCAGGCCACAGTCTGGCCATGTTCAGACAAAAGTTCTCTGAGCTCTTATGTTGGGCAGCTCCAGCCAGAAGCATTTGCATCTAATTTTAACTTCACATGGCAAGATGGAACGGCTTAACCAATAATGCAAAACATATTTTTGAGGGATATTCTTGCTGCTAACACTGTTCTAGTTCCTGAGGCTATAGCATTGGGTGAACAAGACATCATTACCTGCCCTCCTGGAGTTGACATCCTAGCAGGGGTCAGTGTCATCCTAGGAGAGACCCATAAATACCTACTCGCAGCAGTGGGTGGAAATGTACTAGTATGGAGAATATCACCAAGTGACTAGTGTCCCTGTAAGAACTCTTGTGCTGAGTGTCTTGAGATACTGGGAGAAAGCAGAGAACTCAGGTCCTTGGAACTACCCACCTGATTATGTGCCAGAGATCCATCTTCATGCTTGGCACACATTACCACATTTAATCTTTGCTTTATTCTCCAATATAACCAGAGCAGTGCCTGACACATTGGAGGTGCCCCCCAAATATTTACAGGATGAATGAATTTAATCCTCACAGCAAATCCCAGTGAGGTGGGTACTATCACTCCACTACAGGCATGTGCAACTGAGGCCCAGAGAGAAGCAACTTTCCCAAGGTCACACAAGCTAGTGAAAGCTCGGGCTGTGTGATTCCCAAGCCCATGGGTTACCCACCGTTTTAGTTTGCTATTGCTGCTGAAACAAATTACCACACATTTGGTGGTTTTTACACACAAATTTGTGTCTTAATGTTGTGGAGATCAGAAGTCCTAAAATCAACATGTCAGACACCTTGTGTTCCTTTCTGGAGGCTCTAGGGGAGAATCGATTTCTGTTCCCTTTCCAGCTTCCGAAACTGCCTGCAGTCCTTGGCTTGTGGCTGCATCACTCCGACCTCTGCTTTCACTGTCATATCTCCTCTGATTCCTGTCTCTCTCTTACATGGACCCTTATCATTACATCAGGACCATCTGGATAATCCAAGCTACTCTCTGCACCTGAAGATCCTTAATTTAATCATACCTGCAAAGTCCCTTTTGCCACATAATGTAACATATTTACTAGTACAGGTTCTGGGGATTTGGATGCAATCATTTTTGGCAGACCATTATTCAGTTTACAACACCAATGTACCTGACTATCTTCACAACCCTGGATTTTTGTTTGCTATCTTCCTTAAACATGCAAGAAAACGGATAACTCTTTGTGAATGTAAAATTAGGAAAAAGTGATCTGAAAGGATTTAAAACTCCTGAGGAAGAAGGAAGGGGAATAGAACTCGGGGATGTCAAAGTAGACGTGAATTTTATCGGTAGTGTTTATTTTATTTTTTATTTAAAAAGATTAGACGCAAATACGCAAAATGTTAATAATGAATTCTGAACCCGAAAGGCGGGCAATGATTTGCTGTGGTTTGCTCTATGTTTATTACATTTTTGTAAAACACACAGAAATAGTCTGCATAGCAGAACAAGGATCTTGGAAGGCTGGGGATTGCTGGCTCCAGCTGGAGCACCTGGGACAAGTTACTTAGCCGCTGTTTCCTCCTCTGTAAAATGCGGATCACAGTTGTAATTGAGGGAGCCCACACACGCAAAGGACCTGTAACAACGTTCAGTGATTTTCGTCCCTGGAGATTTTTACATCTCGAGGACAGGGACTAGGCCATGAGGCCGCTGCAGAGGCGACCTAGGTGGCAGCAGAGTCAGCAGGATGGGAACCCAGCCGGGTTTAGCGTTGCAAAGTGGGGCTCCCGCTGGACGCCCCCCAGCCCAGCCTGGAGGATGCGGCAGCGCGGTACCGCCCCCAGGTGGCCGTCTGCAGCACCACGCTCATGGAAAATGCAAAAATCAAATCCAAACACACCCGCGAGGGTTGAATGTTAATGTTTAACATTTAGGAACTCTTTTTCCCCTTTTAATGGTGCGTTCCCACAGCATTTATTACTGCTGCTGATGACAACCCCGTCACTCCGAGGCTTTGAAGGAAGCGGGGTGTTGACAGTCGGTG